GTTTCAGCAACAGGACATGCTCAAAGTTCTGCCCAAATGCAGCCATGCTTTTCACTTGGACGTATCGATATTGGCTTCAGAGCAACGCAAATTGTCCTCTTTGCAGATCATGCATTTCTGGCACCACGCGTCCTCCATTGGACCATATCATAGCACCGAGCTTCTCCTCAAGATTCTCAATTACTCTCCAATATGGGCAGTGATGAAGACTTGTGGTAATGAATGGTGGGAGAAGATGGGGGATCGCTGTCATTGAGGCAACATGAACGAAACCAGTCGAGCGGGGGAAGCCTGGCACAGAGTAGAAGTCACTCCACGAGGAAGATGCCAGCAGAAGCTCGGGCACCTGAAATCGAGGAAGTGGCAGCATGTGTCCATCATGGGAGACGAGTGCATTGATACGAGGGAGAAAGAGAACAGTTCTGTATTCAGCCACTTAGGAGATCTTTCTCCATGGATTCTGCAAATGATAGGCAAATTTACTTGGAAGTTCAAGCCATTACACAGCAGCCGAATAGGCATCAAAATGACGCTAGGGGGAGTGAAGACAGTAAAGTTCACAGCAGAGGTCGAAGGTCTTTCTTTCCATTTCGTTATGGTCGTGGATCCAAAACGCAGTAGTATTCCTCTGGAGAATGAGGTCTGATGTAACATATTTTTGTTCCTTTTTTTTTTTCCCTGGTTGTTTCTTAATTTCCAGTTGTTAATGTTAATATCTTCAAAGTGGAGGATTAGAATCGAAAGGAGTGGCACAGAAAACAATAGAGTGCTTTTGTAATGATAGGGAATGGGTGAAGTGAGTCAGACGGTGGATATGGAATAGAGGCGCATTGCTTTTAGTGTCATTTGCTTAATTTGAAGGTGCATGTCTTCATTTCACAGTGAATGCGAATGATTGCTGTTCCATGTTCCTGTCATGTGTATTTAGGAAGAGAATACAGAGCAGAGGGACCCACACCCACAAGATAATGAGAAGCCATGAGTAGCAGCAGCATGAATGAGAACTGTCTCTTCTAGGAAATCATCTCTACCTTCTTTTTGTCTCTGAGCTATCATATGGATATGGGAAAAATGCGGTATAACAGCTAAGAGGGTGGGGTTCTTCGCCACTGTAAGACGCACAATGAACGTTCATATCCTACTTTTTCCTTGCAAATTTTATAATCCAGTCAATAATTCAGCAACAACAATATATCATCCAATAATCTCATTTCACAACCTGGCTAAATACGGAAGTTTGATAAGTCAAACTTAACTTCTTAGACTGAAACGAAAATTAAGCAGTCATAAACAAAAGCCTCACTCTAGGTTTCCTTGCCCTGAAGGTGATTCAAGATAACCCATAAATTTCCCATGTCAAGCAGTCCACATTGTTGAAAAATGCATAAACTAATTGGTGTAAGAAAGATCAATGATTATGGCATATTCAAATGTCGCACAGAAAGCCGCTCCCGTGAAAGAGGTACAATACATACTCAAATCAGTGTGCAGTATTTTGTACATATTAAAAAAGAAAAAATAAAACTGTATAAATAGCATTGCCAGTTAAGTTAGAGAAGCCTAATGAATCCAACTAAAGAGGGAAAAAACGTGAAAAATGAACGAGACGGATAAATTAGAACACGGAACAATATGAATACATTTTTGGGGTTGTTTTCACACTTGGAAGGCAGCTCAGGGCCCCTCAAACCCCTCTGACATTCCAAATTCAAGCTGAGGCTCAGTAACAACTAGACATCATAACAAAGTATCTATCTATACACAGAAAAGAATACACAGGATTCATTTGAAAAGGAAGAAGGGACAACTACAACTAAGAAACTCATGCATTCCAGATGCCGGAGGGAGGGAAGCCAGAAACTTCTGAAGCTTCAATCAAAAGCTTGCAGTGTTTGGACTAACGGTGTCCGTTGTGGAGGTTTGCCATAGATATCATCAAAATGAAATTTAAAGTCCCCTGTCTCTAAGTCAGCGGGGCAAGTTGTTTTAGCTAATCTTTGATAGTCTCTCCAGTCCAAGTCTTGTTCTGGATCCTCTAAGCTTCTCTCAGAAAATTTATCATGATAATTCCATGATGTTCGGTAATTAAATTCTGGAGGCTCAAAAAAGCTCGTCTGAGCTTGTCCAACCTGTGGGCCACTTCTCGCCCACCAGTGATTTCTGATAGAGTGGGACTGATCTGTAAAATTATGATCTTGAATTAGGTTTTCCTTAAAGATGGGAGCCAAAGTAGAAGCCCCAAGATGAGATGCCAATCGATCTTCACGATATTCTTCATAGTAAGGTACATTCCTAGTCGAGTTGGAGGACAGTGGATACTCTCCCAAATGAAACTCGGTTTTTCCAAACGGTTCTGTTGCAACATCTCTCGTAGTTGCATCATGAGATCGAGATGTATAATACCAATCTAGAAGATAAGGATGATTATTTTGGTTGGCATCAATCAGCCACAACGAACACAAGTGATTGCCAAATACACATGGCATTTCCCAGGACGCAAACCTGTTTCTGCTTCCACAGCTCCTAGTATTGGAAATACCCTTGCACAACCTAGTAGGAGGGAATGCATGTCTGTTTCCATGTCCTTGCAAATTTTGCTCTCTGAAGGTTCTAAGATTTAGCAAAAATTGCTTCCCCTGAGAATTTGGTGGCCATGATGGATAACTACTCTGAAAGCTGCAACAACAACGACAGTGATTTCCCGTTTATTATTGAGTTATTGACATTCAGAATTGGATTGCATGTCTGAAAAATAATTGCTTTCAGACAGCAATGAAAAAACGGAAAACAAAGTGTTAGATGGGCAGAATGAAAATCCTTGTTTCATTACAGCAGTGGTAAAGGCTTCTTGTAAACCTTTAACCTAAAAATAATAAATGAAAAAGGCTCCATGGAAGCTAAGAGGCATTGCACATGCATGCATCCTCGATAATATAACGACTGCTTTCATGGCTCGAAGGCAAGAAAATTAAGCAAAGCAGCTAGAGCCATTTCTAAATATCTGGATCTGACACCCAATAGGCTCATAATATTAACCAGAATAGATATGAAATGTAACAGCACTACGTTGAGTCAGTTTTTGTGCATTTGACAAACGCTTACATGGAACATACCTCAAAAATGATTTCTCCATCTTCCCCTGAGAACTCCTCTGACTGCGAGTTGCATTGTGTGGGGAACCATAATTGCTATTTCCATGCTCTCGAAAGTCAAAGACACTGAAACTGCAACAATAAAGAGAATACAACAAAACAACCAAAATCATCTGTTATTCAGACAACAAAAACTGGAAAGTGGAAGCAAAGGAGAATTTCATAAAAGACACCCAAAACAACAGGCAGATGCAAATTAAAAAAGGATGTCAATCATAAGTCATTAAATTATACACTAACCTGCAAACATGGCCAACACCGTCAACATTCACTGTGAAATCCGCAATGAACTGCAAAATATCATTGACCCGCTGCAAAATGAACAAAACAAGCAATTAGGACATTACAATAAATGGAAAATAATCAAATCAGAGATTATGTCCAAGTATGGAAGTGACCTTTGGGACGATAAACATAAGTAAATAAGGAGTGAGAAAAATTGAGGTCATCTCCTCAAGCAACATCATCCCTGTATACTAAAATGCACAAAAACATAACAGCATGAGAGGAAGCAATATCAAATCCTATGCTATCATGAATATGCATGAAACCAATACCTCGGAGAGAGTACCTGAAACAATGTTTCAAACTCAAGGCGTACCATTTCAGTATTTTCTTTGCCTCGCCATTTCTTTGGCATATAATGAGTATGTTGAACCACCAACGACATCGCTCCCTCAGGATCTAAGACCAGAAGATCATTTGCAATTATAGCCTTGCTAATTGCAGTTATTGTTCCAAAAACAGCACCATACCAAAATAAGTTTCGACCAAATATCTGCAATATTGAAGAAATCTATCATTAGTAACTGTCATGGTGTTTCTTGGTGTAACTTATTTTAGGCTACATAAGTAGAAATACATTACATGGCCCTCTAGCAATGATTCCTCAAGAAAAGCAATGATGATCAGAATTGCAGCAAAACCACCCGATACAAAAGAGATGAACTTTGCAATTATAGATATAATAGGTGAAGGAAACTGCTTCAGGTACTCCGAAGCATGTATTACACTGTTATTAATCCGATGCTTGAAGAGATGGTCCACCTGGAACACAAGTGACATAATTGGTAATATTATACATATGACAAAAGGGACACAGGTGAGATGCAATAAAAATTATTGACCAAAAAACAACGATGATACCTCATTGAAGTCCCTAAACATCCACCTAGACAAATTTGACCATCTTCGAGATGAAGCTGTACTTGGATGATTATAAATTTGTTCAGCATGCCTCAGAAAGAGATACACGAGCATGAATATGACAAGAAATGGAGAAAGCAAAAGCATGGCAAGCCCAACAATCATAAGCCTTTTCTTTAGTGTCTTTGGATTAGACATAAAGTCCCTCTTAACACAAAAGTTTCTGCAAAGAAAGCATGTTCAAAGGAGAACGTCATCAATCTTGGATATAGCCTAGACAGCAAAATAACGTTCTTAATCATATTACCTAACTGCAAAACCGCATGAGTCGGTCTATATCAATTCACATGAAATAAAATTTCCAAAAAGAAAAAAAGAAAAAGTTAGTTCAAGGAAAATTCAAGTATACCGATCAAACATGCTATATAAGATGCACCAATTCAAAGTCCACTCAAGTGTCTTGGTAAGTATTAGACGACATTGTTTTCCGTTCGGGCAAGATTTTACTGTAGGGCCAGCACCAGGAACCCAATGAGAAATGGGAAATGCAAGCACCCCCTTGTTGAGCATTCCAATCAAGTAGTTTTCCTTCCGCATCAATCTCATCACCATGTCATGAGCAGAAAGATCCTTAACCAAACAGAGCTGTTGCGAGCTTTGTATTGAAACAACCTTTTCAAGGATTGTTGCCCAAGGCATGGTTTGAATTTCATTGTCGGTTACACAAAGACTGTAAGGAAAACACGGTTAATCATTGCCCCAAAAAAAATCTTATCAAGCAAAAGTTATCATTTGCTTCAGCTTTGTTTATTATCTACACATACCTATTGTAGTAAAACTGACGGATTTCCAGAGTGTCTTTTAGTTGAGTAAAGAACCTCAAGAAACAAAATATCCAATAGATGGAAAATATTCCCAAGTATCCAACAATAATAGCCTTAGTAAGTGTCAGTGGGGTTAAGGGGTGTTGCCAAAGAGCTTCTTTTGCTAGATCACAGGGTTTGATTCCAGATTCAACTGCATCCATCCCACACTTCGCATTACGAAGCCCATTCCAATCAACATATAGTAAAAAAAATCCAGAAAAACATATGGTAAAGCCTAGACTCAAAAGTTCAACAATCCACTTTACAATGATGCACCAAAGCCCTTTCTCACAGTAGTAACTGTAAAGCCTTTCGAAGAAGAGATCCAAATCAACAATTGGCTCCACATTTAAGCTCTCACCAGTAAGAAGGCCCGAAGGGCTCTCACTACCTAGACTTGGGATCCTTTTGTAGTCAGACAACTCGATCCCGGGGGGGAACATCCAGAAGCAAACCTGATGTCAGTGATGATTCGCCTTGAATTTTTTATTTGAATATACCAAAAGCACTGGTGCCTCTTGGTCTGCTAAACATTGTACAGTGGCATAAATAGCCAGTCCATGCCCCAAGGACTTAGTTGGATATGAAAAGGTTCAACATGAAAAAGTCAAGATTGGTAAACAATCAACTAGCTAGGTACATCAACGAATGCAGTGGAATGGAATGCATTATGCAGCTGTTGAACTCAGCCTCCCCCTTGACCGAACATCAAGATCAATCTGTACAGCCACGTGAACTCTCCTTCTGCAACACCAAAATAAAAAACAATGAATTGCAATAAAACATATCACCATTTAATTGGATAACTCCGCGCGCATTAAAGTGCGACTCCCCAAAGAAACGTTAGTTATGCGGAACAAAAACAAAACCGATCACTCTGTACAGTAACTGCACGTCACTTGTATGCAAAAGTAGACAAGCAATGAGCTCGTTACGGCAACTAAAACTAATTCCAAGAGACAAGAATCAGAAAGTTTCTGGAACTATCCGAGTCCACAGTTCCTTATCAAGCATGTCATTACAAAAAAAAAAAATGATAAAACAATTTCAGCTTGCAATAAAGATGTTAAGGGAAAATAAGAATAACAAGAATATCAGACAAAGAAACAAATAAAGATGATACCTTGGTCTAAGCCGAAAACACCAGAGGACCTAGATAATGAAGCTCTAAGCGGAGAATGAGGTGAAGCAATGGAATTGACTAATAGAACAGCGGTAAAAGCTACTGAGAGACAAAGAATTCGGAATTTGAAGGTAACAGCCTAACAGGATAGTCCAAGAAAGGAAAGACACGAGTGTGATCGAGGAAGATGACCCAACCCAAGCGAAGGTCTGGTTGCGTGGAGGAGGAAGGAATCTACCATGTGAAACTAAACAGAACTAAATGATCCCATTTAAATAACTCATATTTTTCCCGGGACATTAAAAAAATAATAATTTAAAGATGAGTTTTGATATAAACCATTATACACGTGAAAATATAAAACAAACTCATATTTTATAATTCGTCTTTTATATTATTCTGATACAAATCGCTGTAAATTTTTTTTATTCTTTGCATATTAAAAAATTAAACAACATATTTTATTTGACAATTTATAACTCAAAGACCTCCTGTATTAGAAATTATTTTTAAAATAATTTCTTATTTTTATATTTTATTATCCTTGTACATACTAAAAATATAAATCATAATTTATTATTTTGAGAAATAATCATTGTTAAATGGAATAAGAGAATAGTTTATACAAAATTAGACTAAACTTTTTGTTTCGCATGACGTTCGAGTCCTCAAAAGGAAAAGCTAAATAAGTTTATCGGAAGCTTCCTTCACGAGGACAATTAGTCATGTGCAAAAACAAATCTGTTATTTTTAGGGTGTGTTTGGATTAGCGGTGAGAAAAGTTACTTTTTTTCAATTTGATTTTTGAAGTTATTTTTTTCAATTTGACTTTTGTAAAAGTCAGATTAGGTAAAAGTCAGGTAGTGTAATGTGATTTATGTTTGGATTGATTTTTGTAAAAAAGTCAGTTTAAGAAATTGAAACTTATCTGGATGATTAATAAAAAAGTAAATTTAGATGTAAAATAACTGAAAAGGATATAAACTTTATTAAATAGTATATATTTATATTATATGTTTATAATGTGATAATTGTCAGAAAAAAATTAAAATTAAAATTATAAAAATAAAAATAGTTATTTTTAAAGAATAATAAACTTATTTTTTTAAAAATGATTTTATTATTCAAAATTTTTTTAAATATTAAAAACCAATTGGCTGGATTAAAAAAAAAAACTCATATCATGCATTCTCTCTCCTCCCTCACTCATAGGCCCCACAAAATGTGTAGTGGAGAAGCTTTTTTTTTAACCAGTCGCAGTGGAGAAGCTGAAGGCAGGAGCTTTTGAAAAAAAATCTTTTTCTAGTACAAGTTCATCTCTCTTCACAGCGAATCCAAACATCTTTTTTAAACAAAATACTATTTTACCAGTAAAAAAGTCAGTTTGGGATCTTACTGTGATCCTAAACACAGAAGACGGCCCAAAGCACTGATTCAATCATAATTATATACAGAATCAGTGGCTGACATCTTATCCCGAACGGTTGCGTGTCTCTTTATTTTCTACTATTTCTTAATTAATTTAATTAACAAGTAACAACATTTTTTTTTTAGTCATTGCCGTGGCCATTGGGTTATTATGGGGAAGAGCGAGTAAAAGTGCAAGGCTTAAGATGAGTTTTTTTTTCTTCTTCTTTTTTTTTTGTACAAAGGATAAGGCATTGTGATTGTCAGAGCACTGACATTCGAGAAATTTAATGAGAGAAGCCTTTTGACAAGCCATGTGGAAAATGTCGGCAGTTCATGGCTCATTCAAATGATAAATTTTTGTCCGCCGGAGTCTGGATCTAACCAAAAAACAAAACTAGACCCTCATGACATAACAAACTAATATTTAAATTTTTATTAGGGAAAGTATTTATATTTAATACCTAACAGTATTTTGAACAGGATTACTTTTAATAGAAAGATATTTATATTTTAATTAAAAAAATGATAAACTTTTGGGGCACGCCTTCCCTATTATACGTTCAGGCCCGTAGTCTAAAAACGGATGCCAAGTCCTCGCGGGGTTTTAAAAAAAAATAAAAAAGGCTTTCATGAGCCTGTCATGCAAGCCGGTCACCCCCCCGGGGGGGCGCTGCAGTGCTGCGCCACAATTCTCTCCCTTTTTATTTTGATAAATCTAGCCAACGAAAAGATTTTTTTATTGCAGTTTTCTGATAATTTAAATGAAATTTAATATATAACTATGTTGCTTTCACATACAATATTTAATAAACTATTAAATTTAGTTAGTTTAATCTGGAAACGGTTAAAGTGGATCTTTACACCCAGGGCCATGGTCCTTTCCAAATAGGTAATTAATTAATGCAGGCATGATAGGCGCGCGATTGTATCATGACTCACAAAGAACGCTGACTAGTTGTCAAATTTTATATCCATACTGTACTTCCGGTTTTAATTATAAAAATTTATTTATAAACTATTAACGAGGTATTATGATTAAGATCGGAGGTTGTATATTATTACTTCCAATCTTTAATATAAGAGCTCGTTTGATTTTTATTTTGGTTCTAAATATAAGACTCCAATCCACTTTGTATCTCATATTTATCTTTTTTTTTTAAGTAGTCATTGTAATAATAATAATTCTAATCAATACACTTGATTAGTAAGGATATTTCACGAAAAATAACATCTACTCTTTCGATCCTTAATATAAGACTCATTTAACTAATTTGATTAGATTAAGGAAGTTAGGTAAGTCAGTTAATTATAAGAAACGTGACACGTTTTTCCTAAAATACTGTAATCATCTTTCTTAATACCCCTTCTTCCTCTTCTATTTGATTATGGTTGAGGGAGTATCCACAAGGATAATTTGGAAAAAATTGATATGTCTTATATTTAAGATCAAAATCAATTTAACAATTGGATCCTGTATTAAGGACCGGACGAGTATTTATTATAAATAACTAACATAATTAATTTTTTTAATTTATTCAAATTAGTTAATTAATTTTATATTTAAGATCAAAATCAATTTAACAATTGGATCCTGTATTAAGAACCGGAGGAGTATTTATTATAAATAACTAACATAATTAATTTTTTTAATTTATTCAAATTAGTTAATTAATTTTTATACTAAAAACAGCAGGGGGAGAAAGTAATATTATTTGGGAGATGACAGGTACATGAAGAAGAATCCAATAGGGGTTGGTGGAAGTTATCGGGTGTACGTGGGATTTATAGAAGTTATCGGAAGACGAAGCGAGACGCCTGAGAGGTTTCCAATATAACAAAGGACAGGATATAACAAAGGACAGGCGAAGAGGATGGTGGATATGGAGATATGAAGGAAGAGAAAGATGGAGAGAGAATAACAGGGAGGGTGGGATTTAGAACACCCCAGCATCCACGTCTTGGCACTAACAACTGGGGAGGATCATCGCCGCTGTTAGCCAGGAATATACCCCAGGAATCTCTGCACCAGAAATATTCCAGTCTCAACCGCATCCGTAGCCGCGATGAGATATTTGCCACCCATCATCCCATTCTCAAGGAGGCATCCTCCACCGCCGCCACCAAGAAAGCTGGATTTTTCAGCAAGCTGTTGTTTTTCCGCAGCAAAAAGACCAGTACTGCCACTGCCACCTTGGGCTCCAATCTCAGTAACAGAAGATGGCTTCCCACCCTGGATCCTCAAAACAGGTGGCCTAACGGCTGGTGTTGAGCTTCTCTGACTCCTCCTATCAAAGACACATGATTTAGAAATTAATTTGCAGCTTTCATCAATTTCCTTACCCTATGAAGCATGAATATACATATTTGCATTGTATTAGGCCCTCAATGCTTGGTCAATTCAGTTTTAATTTGACCTGGGCTTTTGTTCGCACCTTACTACCCCTGAGCAACCCATTGCCACACCGAGAATCGCAAGAGTCGCCAAAGCCCTCAAACACCCCCCTCCAAAAAAAAAAACTCGCAAAGGCTTTCTTTTCGGGCTCCCAAATTCGAATGGAAAGATTTAGTTTATTTAACTCTAATACTGATAAGAGTTTGATCTAATAGAAGGGATTAGTTTCTCATAACATAGTGAATTAAAATTTGAATTCTCACTAGGAGAGATACTCATATGTAGTACCCAACAGTACTTCGAATATGATTACTTCTAATAGGAGGATACTATGCTTTATCAAAAAAAAAATCAACGTATATAATTTCAGCCTCTCTCATGTGGGGCGTACGTGTTGACCACATTGATTATCTTGACAGCTAATTAAGAAATTAAAGTAAAAGGGATGGTGGATGGATAGATACGCGAGGACAACGATCGAGCTGGAAGCGCGCCTTTCAGTGCTGTTACGAACGACACAGATTCATCAACGCCGTTGAGGCATCCTCAACGGCTCTTCCGAAGGTGCGTACTACTAGGTTGGTTAATTAAAGCACTTAACCTGCGATAATTACGTGTTCGGTTGCCGAATGATCTGCCCTTTTCATGGTGGGTGCATGGGAAAGGGAACTGCTTTCTCTAGCTAGTGCAACCATTATCATTGTTAACTTTTAATTTTGTGGGTTTAGCAAGCCATATTAATTTTAAAACGCATAATTATCGACTTTCCACGCAACAGTATTATTTTGAA